CGGGGGCGGGCAGGGGGCGGGCCGAGGCGCCCGGCACTTCCTGCCGCCGCCATTTTGTCAAGTGAGGAGGAGGAGGAGGAAGCGGCCGCTGCGGGGCCCGCGGCGCGCCCGGCCTGGGTAAGTCCAGGCCTGGCGTGGTGGCCGTGGCGCCGCTGTCCCCGGGGCGGTTTCGGCCTCAGCCGGTCCGCTCACGTGGGCTGGGTCCGGCGCGCTCTCCCCCGACCCTGGCGCCTGGGTCCTGCCCGAGCCGGAGCAGGGCGCCTCCGCCCCCATTTCCTCACCTTCCCGGGCGTCCCCGGAGCTCTGCGGAGAACGCGGCTTGTCCCCAGGAGGAGGTTGCCGCTGAACGCCTGCCCGGAGACAGGCCCCTGGGGGGAGCGAGCCTGACTCTCTCTACCCACCTACTTCCAGCTTGGCAGCCCCTCGCTGGGTGCTTTGTTTTGCTCGGTGGGTGCTAGCTTGATGTCCTTGCCACGGCCTGGTCTATTTGCGGTGTTGTGCGGGGTGGTGTTTTTGGGTGGGGATGTGGGGAAGTAGTGATGCAGCGAAATAAAATGACTCCCCCCCAAAAAAAAACCAAAACGGAAATAGCACAACTTCACCCGACTGAGACGCCCCCAAGGCCCGGCCTTGGATGAAGATGGGAAATCCCACTTTGGTGTACTGGACAGTGTAAATACTCGTGTTCAGGCCGGTGGATGAGTCATGTGTCTTTGCTAGGGTGGCTGATTTCCCTTTTACTCAAGACGACGCGTTATTTTTTGAAGTGTTATTTTTATTTACTTGTTTACTCGTTTAATGTTACGTGCAGCCTGGTGGGGGTTTATGGTTTTGGTCTTTGGGTTCGTTTTTACGTGTGTTGGATGCAAGAAGTGACTTCACGGAGGCTGCCTCACGACAATTGTGTCTTTGCTTACCTTGGAGAGAGCTTTCGCTGTCCCTGTTTACAAAAACCAAATTACAGTGTACCTCTAAGTCAGTGGTTCTTCGGTGCTGTAATAATGGTTGGGAGATTTTCATGAATGAGGCTGTCAAGTTGCTTAAATTGTTAGTCCTTGGAATTTGTAGTCCTTGGAAATTGTAAAGAAAGCGATACTCTACAGGATTTATGAATGTGTTTTCAATTCAGGAAGGTTTGGGATGGCACAGTCTGTTTCATGACCTTGTCAGCAATTTAATAAAACATTCCTTTTGGTTTAATTTGGTTGGGGATTATCTTTCCGGCAGTGCATTGTAGATAACCAATCCCTCCCCAAAAGTTTCAACTTGGGGAAGATAAACCTCTCAGATGGTTTCCGTTGATCAAATCGAGGAGCAAAAGCCTGATCTCAAACAAAATGTATCCCTTATCCACCATACCCATTAATGATGATAGGAAACAGTATCTAAGGCTCAGACTGTGGAGTATACACTAAGTCTCTTAAAAGATGGTTTTAGTTGGTCTCACCTGTATGGAGATGAGCCCACTTGTTTATCTTGCTAGAATTCAGCCCCAGACAAATTTCTGAAAATAAGGAATTTTGCCTACAGATGAAAGTGGCTGCATTTTAAAGGGTAAGTTGACTGCTGGGGGGGGGGGGGGTGCCGATATAGCTAGCTTCCCTAGCTTGAATGGTAATAAGGAAGGGAAAAAAATTACCTAAGAATTGCAGGAGAGCCATTGGCCACTTTGTAAAAATTGCAGTAAAATTTCCACTAAATTATTGAATTGTTTAAAGGAATTTAGACTTTGTTTCCAAAAGTTATCTTTTTGAGCCAGTTGTTGTGATCTTTGTACTAAATTGCACTTTTGCTTTTGGAGGTAGGCGATGCAGTATTTTCGTGTTACACAATTCAGGTTATTGAATGCTTTGAGATGTACAAATTCTAGAGGGAGATCGAAGTTTTTTTGTTTTTGTTTTTAATTTAAAGCAAAAACTATTTGGTGCCTCAGACTGGAATGTTAAATCTTTTGACAACCCACTGTTATTGTGTGTCAGAATTGTATGTAAAGTGTTTTGGATTTTTTATTTTGAATAAACTTGTAGATCATGTTTGTCTTTATGTTCTTGGCAAATCTATAGGAAGGAAAGAAAAGCTTGTCATTGTGAACTGCTACTAGTGTTTTATAAATCTGTGATTTTTGGTGTTTAGAAAAGACATTCTCAAGGTGAGGATTGTGGGGATTCTTTGTTGATCCTGACGTTTAATTCATAAGACATGAATTAGTAAAAAATAGAAATTCCTTTTACTAGAGTGTAAGTTCCATGAGGGCAGGGTTTTGTTTGATTGGTTTTGCCTATTTTTATTCTCTATTGTGTTGTCAGCACCTAGAAGAGCACCAGAAATATTCTTTGAATAAACTGGAGAAATAATTGAGCAAGAATTTGGTGTGTTCATAATACCAAATGCAAATAATTCTTCTTAATAAAATGTTTGTTAACAGTGGATGTAATTGGTCAGGTGGTGCCTTACAATGTGAATTTTAAGATAACATTAAGGTCCCTAGAAATTAGTGACTTATTAATAGTCCAAGCAGCATGGCATGCAATTGTTTCTGCGCACTGTCTACTGTACACTTCCCACTTAGCAGTTTGAAATGTGGTGAGTAGGTTTGGGCTGTGGTTCAACCCAGACCTGGGGAAAGTATTTTAAGAGGGAGATGAAATACTTAATAATAAATGTATGGGTAGCATTTCTCAACATGAATCTCATATTGTCAGTAAAAAACTTGATTTTTTGTTTTTTAAACACGGAGCACTTTTTAATATTCTGACTTTATGTGTATGTGATTCGCCAATCCATCTCAACAATTTAGTTCCTGAGCTCTTACTATGTACACGAAAAGACAAAAAGATACTTGCACAATGTCTTTTATTTGGTACGTATATTCTTTATTAATGTATTCATCCCCCAAATTTTATTGAATATAAGTTATGTATGATTTGAGCATTACACTGTCATAAAACCCTATCGAACATCTTTTTGTTTTCAGTTTTTTATAACAGCTTTATTGAGATATAGTTTACACATGATACAATTCACCAATTTAAAGTGTACAATTTAGTGGGTTTTAGTATATTCACAGTTGTGGAACCATCACCACAACTAATATTACAACATTTTCGTCTCAAAAAGAAACCCCTATCCATTGACAATCACTCACCATCTCCACAACCCCTGGCAACCACTAATCTACTTTGTCTCTAAATTTGCCTATTCTGGATATTTTCAGGAATCATACAACATATAACCTTTCGTTTCCGACTTTCAGTGTGTTTTCAGGGTTTGTGCTGTACCATGAATCAGTACTTCATTCCTTTTATGACTGAATGGTATTCCATTATATGGATATGCCACATTTTATCCATTCATCATTCAGTTGGTGGATATTTGGGTTGTTTCCCCTTTTTGGCTATTCTTGAATGATGCTGTGGTGAGCGTTTTCACACAAGTTTTTGTGTAGATTTTATGTATTTGGGTAGGTGCCTAGGAGTGGAATTACTGGGTTGAGGTAACTGACTTTTTGAGGCTAGGCAATGACTTTAATTAACTGCATTGATTTTCTCAGGCTTGCATAGAGGATTTAAAAGAAAAGCGTAATGGCATATGGTGTAGCCATTTAAAAGAATGAGGAAATGAAAGTGCAAGAATGTCAGCATGTTGACATGTAGTAAAGACTGCATGATGTGATCCCCATTTGGGTTTTTTTGTGTGTGTGTTTTTAATTTTGCATTGTTAGAAAACAGTTTGGAATGCTAATAAGGCACAGAAGAAGGTCTAGAAGATTCACCCCAAACTTGTACTACTATTATAAAAAGTGATTTTAAAAACACTTTTTTTTTTCCAATCTAAACAGGCTACAAGTGATTAAACTTGATTAAACTGCACCCACATGTCCCAGTGTAAATCATGGGATGTATTTAATTCTAAAGAAATATATGAAGAGTAAGTCCAGTGTCAAAGTTAGGGCAAAGCAGCCATCTGTCCCATTCTTGACCAAACCCTGAAGGGGACTAACACTGATTGGTTCACATCATTGGAAAATGAGATTTTAAGGGTTTTTTCTTTAAACAAAAGTAGTATAATGGTTATATTTTTTTCTTTTTGTCTGTATTTTTAAATTAAGTTGACATTCAATATTATTTTATATTAGTTTCAGGTGTACAGCATAGTGACTATCTACCTGGCACTATACATAGTTAATGCGTGGTCATTTTAAAGAATTTGGAAAACAGAATGTTAAAACGATGTTAAATGTTAAAAAAATACCTCATGCAATTTTAGTCTAGAGTTTTTCTACATATGAGTAACAAAATTGGGTTGTAATTTTAAGTTTTCAAAAATTACATTGTGGACATTTCCAAAATGCTCTATTTTAAATAGTTGTTTAATATTTTATCATATGAATGTACCATAATTTATGTTATTTTGGGGCATGATTTTAAAGTTTTCTCTTTTTTCCAGGTCTAGAGAGGGAATTTGCTAGATCAAAGGGTGTGCATTTTTGAAAACTAGATACAAATTCATTTTCTAGAAAAGATCCATGAATTTCCATTTCTCTAAACACAGCCTGACAGTGTCTTGTTTATGAGGGTGAGGTTTTTAACATTTCCCCCCACAAATAGCAGTTGTATAAAAACAA